GGTAAATGACATCAGTTGCTCACCCCAGCAGGCTTCATTATGTTGAAGCAGAGGTGGTGAGAAGTTATAAAACAAGGCCCTTAATATTTCTAGACTATTATGTTTGCTCTATGTAATTGTTTGGTTGCTATCACCTTTCCTGGTCTTGAAGCTGTACAGTTTCTGTACACCTGGGAGGGAAGCAAGTAATGCCACTAACTTACTTTATGGATAGGGATGGTATCTAGCTCATCTTGTCCAACATGCACTGGAAATCTGCCACAGTGCAGGCAACTGAGTGCAGGATCCCCTGGTCATGGGCTAATGCAGAAGCAGATGGACTATTCATCTCCAAAGCTAAGACCCCTGCTTCTGGTGCATCTATTGAGGTTCTTACACTCTGTTTGTGTTTGCACATAGTGTTCTTTTTCCTCTGGTGTGGAGAGGAAAATAGCATTGAGCAGAAGGACTGGAATGCCTGCCTGGGGCAATCCTGACTTACACCGATTTCATCTTGGAGGGCTAGTCTTGGTTGTGTGGGCACTAGATTAAAGATGAGTGAGAAGTTCTGTTCAAGGGAACGAAAAGCTCTTGTCTATATTTAAAATTTGTAGAAGAGTGCTCCTCCCCATCATGGGTCTAAGTAGCCAGAGCCCTGTTTGATTCACACAGTAGAAGTGGTGCTTGCGCATTTCAAGGTTAGAGTCTAACAGCACCCATAGTAAGGGCTGGAGCTCCCTTAGTGGCAGAGGTTTGAATTCAGTATCTGAATGCAAACTTTGTACTGCTGTGAGAGGCAAAACTAAAATTCTATATCCATGCATTTCTAGTCAGAAAGGTTTAAAACTGGTTTTCTAAAAGAAGTCATAAAGACTAAGGTATTTGAACTGATACAGCATTCGTGTTACCAACTCATATCTGAAACCCATAGAAAGATCTTAGTTTGGGTCTGAGCCCAGAAAACACAACATCTGTGAATTTCAAGTAAAATTCTGGATTTCTGAAGATGATGTACATGATGTTGTTTCCTTAGGGGTTTTCATGAAAATATAAATATTTGAATTTAGCTGTTTCTCATTTCTGCGACTACTGACTCAAAAGTTGTTGAATTTTACAATGTAGACAGACATGTCTGCCCTTTAGGGAACTTTAGTTCTGCTTATCGCCTCAAGGATGTAGTGAAAAGAACCAGCCATGTATGGAAAGGAACATGATTAAAACGTTGTTGGAAAAAAAAAAAGTTTATAGGTGGTTCTGCATGCTCTGTCACTGCATATAGGTGTCATGCTAACATATGAGGTTTTAAAAAGCAATTCTGAAATGAGTTCTTGTTTCTAAGCTAGTCCCTGTGCATGGAGTTGTCCTCATTTGCTTGTACTTATATGACTAGTCGCTACTGACTCTCCCACAGGCAGCTTGTACGGTCGTGACCTTGCTCCTATTTAAAGTTACAGTGGGGAAAGCCGACCATGGAGGGAGCTGTATGTAGTTTTTGGCAGAGACTCAGGTCTACCATGTCCAGGAATCTTTTCTCCCATCCTGTATTTACTTTTTACAGACTCAAATAGAAGTATAAATGGTTTTTTTTTTCCAAAAATGTTTGCATAAAAAGTGACCACAAAGGCTTAGAAGGCATCTAGCTGGTCCAAAGTAACAGCTTAAGGGAATGAATTGTAGTCAGGTCTCTGTGGTACGTGTGATACGGTGACTCAGTGGGAAGATGCTGAAGATCCTTTGAAGAGCTAGCTTGAGCTCAGGCCATCTATCTGCCAGATCCTGAACTTCTGTTTCTGATGTGTGCTGAGGGCTTTGAAAATCCTCTTTCTTGTTATTGTGTCTCCTGTGAGATATTTGATTGTGAAAGGGCATGGCAACAGGTCTGCCAGGTAAGGTACAAGAATTAGAACATGTGACCTCTGCTTTCATCATGAGGCTTAGTATGTTCATAAAAGTATTAGGCTGTGACAAGAGTTTCACAGGCTGTAATTTTCTGCTCTGACAGTTCTGTATGCAACGGAGGTCCTCCTTGCAGTGGTGTATGGTGAGGTGCTGATCTGTTCAGATTCCTGCATCCTAGCCTTGGGCTGGAAAGAAAGCTCTTCTGCTTCATATATATTAACAAATATGAATCATTGAATAAATGCAAAATGGGAGACTGTCCAAGATGATGCTATGAGGAAAGAACCAGAATTTGGATAGCTGTGGGGAAAAGGCATCATGGCTTTTGTTTCTTAAGCTGCTTGCCTAGTTCCAGGAAGGCGACTGTTGTCTCTCTTCTGAAAGGCTGCCTTGATTTCCCAGTTCAGTGAATTGCTTCTCAGAGAGCTGCAAAATCCTTCCCAGCACATCTCATTTTATCCTCTTCGCTTTGCAAATCAGTGTATGGTCCATAAGTGTGTCTAGGCCAAGAAACAATAGCAAGCAAAAATACTTCCTTTGTAAAAAGGAAAACAAAAAGCTTGCTCCTTTGCCCAGATTAGTAAGGATTTAGGAGGCACACGTTCTGTGTACACTAAATCAGTTCTGCAGAATCCACTGCATACCATCATCCTGCTCTTATCTCTAAATTCCACAGACAGGCAACCTCAGCTGCTCAGCACAGGCTGGCAGGTTTAGCTTGCCAGTAGGTACTGAAAGCCATGTAAGCGTGGAAATGGCAGTGACACTACAGCTAAGATGCTATCGCAGTAGCAAAGCCAAAAGCAGTTTCCATGGTGATGGAGAAGCTCCAGGCAGCTACTGATGCAGCTGCTGTGTTGGACAGGATCAGTAGCCTTTTATACAGAGGCTGCTCCAATAAAGCTTTTATGTGTTTATGTGTCCTTCATTAGGTTTCATCCAGCTCTGGAACAATAAAATGAGGGGTGAGGGGAAGGTTTAAATTGATTGAAGTGGGTGTTGACCAAAAAAGAAAACGTGAAAAGAAGGTTAAAAATGTTCTAAGTCTTGAAGTATCCACAAGTGACAGATGTATATGACAGCTTAAGTTCATTTGATATTCTGTGGATTTGATATTCTCATTGAGATATTGTGTACCAACATCAATAGCTCCTAAAGTTCTTATTTGAAGTAGGAGAGTCAGATTCATATACCCAAGTCTTAACTCCTCTTCAGAACATTCCTTCTGAATTGGATCCAAAATCAGAGAGGATCTCTTTTCATACACTGAGACTAGAAAAGCCCAGAGCCTTGAGGAAAGTGGATGACCTTTTGACTTCTGCATCTCAAGCACTAAAATGTCTTAAAATTCACTTAGTCCCCCTTTTGGGCAATTAACTCTCAACACCTTGGCCCAGGTATGTGGGATTAATTTCTTACTCTTCCTATAGGGTCTTACAGCCTGTGCTTTCATTCTGCTTATTGCTGTGATGGCAGGTACAGCATCTACAGGTTCCTGCATGGGACTGACACTTCTAATTTCATTTTCTACTAACCTGTGCTTTGTGGGTGCTGCAGCACATGACTAGAAATTGTGTGTAAAACTGCTCTATTAAAATGATTTTTTTTTTGACCCAGATTTTTCATGGTTTAAAACATTGGTTGTTGTCTTCTGAACTAGATGGTATAAGAGATCTGTGTTCTGTCTTCCAGGTGGTGCAGGGGACTGGGAAAAAACAGCTGTCAATCATGAGGCTTTCCTGCTCATGGCTAATTCTCAGAATGAAATGGAAGACTGGGTGAAAGCCATCCGACGGGTTATATGGGCTCCATTTGGTGGAGGTATTGCAAATAGCTCACATGCACATAAATTAAAACATTTGCCTCAAGGTAAAACATATTCTTGTGATACTAGGATATGTGTAACAGAGTAAAATCACTGAGATGTCTAGATAAGCTCTTGATTGTCTGAAGTGTTTTGCAGCGAGGAGATGGGGTTGATTGTTTTGCCAGGAGATGGGAGGGAATGGAAGGGTAGGGCCTAGCCAGACTGTACAACTGACTCTCAGTCAGAAATGGGTAGCGATAATAAATATATCGGTACTGTCAGGACTCAGTTTTTTACAGCTAATTACAAATTATTCTGTGGACCCTTCTTACCCTTATGGACATAAAGGAGTGTGTCCAGTTATCTCTGTTCTACACCACAAATGCAGATGCCCATCTTTGACCTCCATACACACAGGCAGCAAAACTTAATCTAGCTACTGTAGGGCCCAGCTGAGAAGACAAATTTCCTACTGGCTTCAATGGAAGCGTAGCCTGAGGAAGAGCAACAGGGTCAGGCTGAGTAAACACCTGTAATATAATACAGCTGTTGACATTTCCTGTAGCTAAAATGAACAAAAAATCCAGACTCTTAGTGTTGATGTTATACCACAATTGTCAAATTCCCAAGTCAGTAGGTTATACAGGAAGTATTTGTGGGGTTTAGCATAAAACAAAGGTTCACGGATGTTTTTTTCTGTGTTCAGTGTGACAGCAGCTCCTGGCTTGGTACTGGACACTACACTTTGAAGTGACTTGTGTGCTACTGATGGAGCTCACGCAAATAATGGTTATCGTATGTAGATAGTGATATTGACCTCTTTTGAGAGGTACAGATAAAAAAGTGCCAGATAAGGATTAGGGAATAGAACTTCATTTGCTGAAATTACTGGTTGTCTAAATCTGAAGGAAAAAGAAAGTGAGCTTGATGCAGTTGAGGGTGGCTTAAACACCACAAGGTCACTAAGAAGACCCTATGTTAGTAACTTGTATCGTGGGTTTTGTTTTTTCCTTCTAGGTAACTCACAATTTTGAGTCTCTGTGTAGCATAGTCTCTGTGCAATATCTGGAGGAGTTACAATCTCTACTGATGATGTAATTTTTCTCTAGGTCCTTTTTTCACTTAGCAGAAAGGGTATATGTACAAAAGGCAGCTTGTACCCGATTCTGAGAGGCTGCATGAGATGCTGCTGTGCTGTGGGCAGAACAAGCCTTTTTCTCTGGTACAAACTGATCTACAATGATTTCTCCTCAAACATGAGTATGTGTTTATTTTGCTTTCCTTCTGAAGTCCAGTCTACAATGAAGGGTCTTTTAGACTCTGAGCTCAGTGCAGGTCTCTGCAGTTTCTCCATCAGAAGTCTCAGAATCTCAGAGATGGTATTTTTGTGGCCATTTGTAGTGGACCTTTTAGTGTGTATTTTACAGCTTTGCTATGTGCAACAAATAAATACTGTGAGGAGACAGGAGACATTCAGCCATGACAAATGGTACATGTTTGGGCAACAACCTCCTTCTTTAGGGCATGATGTTGTCAGCACTGCTGGTATCAGAGCATATTTGGCTTCTTTTTTTGTTAGTGTTTGTGTCTTGTCAGTCTCTTGGAATAGTTCCTGAGCAAGCATCTTTTTTTAAGTATTAAAATAATAAATCATTACAAATACTAAGATTTTAAAAACAAAACCATGAAGAGAGCATAAAGGAAGGGACAGATTCCTTTTTCTTTGTTTGTTTCTTTATGAGGAAGTATTGTCGTAATTAATGTGCTCTTTTTCTGAACCTCTATCAGATAATATTTTATTCTTCCTTTAAAATGAAGCAGATACTCTTACATTTGATCCCAGAAACTGAGGCTTTGTGAGATATCAAAACCCATGGATTGAAATATTGAGGATGTGGGAGCAGGACAGCGGCAGGGGGGAATGCAGCAGCTGCTATTTGTTGCGATTTTCATGTACTGCAGATAGGATCTGGTTCCATCAATGCCAGGGTAAAGGCTGGGTCGGCTCTTGGCGAGAGCTGGCTTAAGCCCTGTGGAAGAGAAGCACTGTCATTTGCAGAGCTGGAAAGAGTTGCAATTGTGTATTGATGTTCAGCTAATACTACTGCAGCTGTGCAGTAGGAAATGACCTGGCAGGGAAAAAAAAAAAGGGTGGAGGATAAGTTTTTTTTAGGTGGATTGCTTCTCTGGTCCTGCTAACCATGCAGTGCAGGACTAGTGGTTCCAACACAATGAGGACAGTGGGGAGAGATAATGGGGTGAAGGAGAGATGATGAGGTGGAAGAGAGCATGCTTGTTCATTCTGACTGCCACCCACGTATAAAAAGGCTTAAAGAAAACATGGATCTGCCTTCTCAGTCTCTTTGCACTTCAAAAAATATTTATATGAATTTCAATAATCAGAAAATAGTTAAGATGTTCAAAACATTATTTCCAAATGGTTTTAGCCAGTTTGGGGAAATGATCCAACCCACTCCTCCTCCATCAGAAGCGGAGCAGGACAATTTCTCTGAGTGAAATCCCAGCTTAGCTCAAATGTGGGAGGGCAGTAACCATAGCTGTCTCTGTGTTTTAATTGAACAGTTTGAACTCTGCTTTGCTACCACCACTAATTTGAGAGCTAAGTCTTCTCTATTGACACTTTTTAATATATGAAGCTAAAGGGATGGGGGGGGAGGAATTAAGAAACAGGCTTCATTATTAATATGTAAATATCTAGCCCTGGAAAAGGTTGATATGGTGTAAAAATGAATTATGCCAAGATTAAAGGGGAGGCTTAGCCACACTTTAATCTTTGCTGATGTATTGAAGGAAATATAAATCAAAAAGGTTGAGAGTATCTTCTTACTTGTTGATGTGGGCGCATGAAGTGTGTTTAAAGGTGAAGAGCAAAGGCTGCTTAAAATAAAAAACTCCCCAAAGCTGCTGAGGATCCCAAATTATTAATAGGAGACACACTGAGGCTTAAAAGCCATATGGAATGTGTGCTTTGAAATACACTTCAAATGTGGCCTTAAAATAAAATCCTTGAGTTCCTAAGTCTTTTGAAGAAGAGCTGTCTTGTTTATAGGGAAAATAATTTCTAACAAGTTTCCCTGAGTTTCAGACTCCTGAATTCTTGAGTCTAGTCTATCTTGCTCAGAGCAGAAGATTTTGTAAACTGAGATTTGAGACTACTCTGTACGTTTTGATTATGCCTTTAAGAATAGAGTTTGTGACAGTGGCTTGATAAAAGCAAGTTTTGGAGCACATGACAACAGAGAGTAACTAAAACTCTTCCCTATCATCTTTCGCACCTCCATGATGAACAAATTTTGCTCTGAGTTTACACCACTGTTCTTTAATATGGAATGCTTGTAGCAGTGCCATAGTGCTAAATGCAAAAAGAGTTTGTGGCCATAGGCTCGGGTTAGAGTGGGCCTGCCAGTGTCCTCTGAAGTGCCCACCTCTCAGGTGGCATGCCTTCCTCATCTTTGTCTTGTGTCAGATGTAAAACGTAACGTGTCTAGGACTGAATTTTGGGCCACAAGGTGTTAAAGCTGAGTTATTTGGTGCCTGAGTTGAAAGGCATGTGGCATAACTCTCTCTCACAGCTCAGCACACACCCAACACTGCATGAGGACAGAATCGTTCTGTGTTAATCCTGTGTTATGTTTGTGTTCTTCTGTTTACATATTCCTTTTGCCGTGAGCAGTTCCTTGCTCTTCTGCCAGAAACACACGTCGCAGCCCCTTTCTATCTCCATTATGTTATTCTAATTTACCATCATTATCATCCCAAGCTTCTATAATTTTTTTGTGATAGAGGGGAAGTGAAGCAGTTGGAAGGGAGGTGCTTCCCTTAGGCAAACATAGAGAGGTTCACCCTGTGACAAAGTAATTGTTCTACAAGTGCCTCACAAGTAGTTTCTTCATTCAAGGGAAATAGTCACTTTTTAACTGGTGGGCTCTGAAGAAGTGTCCACTGAGGAAGCCACTCTGCTATCATTAATTCTAGTCCCCTTCTCCATATAGATATACCGTAATGTGTGGATTCTTTCTTCTTTTGCCAGCAAAACAGTGCAGAGAGTGTTTTTGTTGGCAACCGGGTCCCTGTGCAGACCATGTCTTGTATTAGAGGAGAGCTGCAAAATAGGGGCCAAGACTGAGGTGTAATCTAATACCTGGCTCAATGTCATTATGAGTAATGGAAGAATAGCCCTACACAGGCTTAATTAGGGATACAGTTTTAAATGAGTAAATGTCTTTCAGATAACATACATATGAGGGCAAAACTAGACTGTTTTGAAGGGTCACATGCTGGTAGTAGATGCATATCCACCAGGATACCACACTGTTTAGGAACTGGGATATCATATTAAGTCCTGGAAGTTTAAGGTTTTATTTCTCCACCTGAAAGATGAGGATTTTCCAGTAAGAGCATTGTGAACATAGAATCGTCATATATCAATGAATTTGAGATACTCAGATACCACAGTAATGAAGAAGAGGGACGTGGCTTCTGTTATCTGCCCACTGTGAAGTCAGAGAGGAGGTTTCTGCTCCCTGTCTTGCTTAGAGGGCTTCTCCAGAATAACACTCTCAAGTATGGTTCCTGGCTGGGTCGAGAGCTGCCCCTTCAGTAGGTGGTGGGGTGGGCTTCCCTTGGGCAGGCTCCCACAGGGGTGAGGAGTCATGCTGGATGTTTGCTGTGCCTGGTGGGTGCCATTATCTCTGCAGAGACAGCTGGCGCCTGATGCAGCTTATCAGTGTTTGCTCTTCAGTCTCGTCTCATGCTGGGAGATGGGCCTAACCAAGGGAAGAGGAAGCGAAAGATGGTGGGGGTTATGAGTTCAGATACCTGGCTAGGACCTGGGGATGCATGAATCATCTGCAAGGAGGTGCTGATTAGCCTTACCCCAGGCAAAGGTATCACAAGCAGGGGTTACGCTTGCGGATACAGAAACTGAGACACAGAGTAGAACTAAAGTTAAGTTTGGAGCAGATCTTGCTGCCAAAACTGCTTACAACAGAGA